CAGAGGTCGACTATCCGAGCTCAAGCACTAGCAGATTTCATTGTCGAATGCACTCCGTGTCCCTCCACCTCCACTCCAGAACCCAACGAATGGACCTTATATGTTAACGGAGCCTCTAGTAGCAAGGGTTCAGGGGCTGGTGCTCTCTTGATTGGCCCAGAAGGATACCGAAGTGAACATGCCCTAAAATTCAACTTTGATGCGACAAATAATATGGCTGAGTATGAAGCTCTGCTACTGGGCCTACAACTAGCATTAGAGTTGAAGATCAGTGCAATTCAAGTGTACAGTGACTCCCAGCTGGTGGTGAACCAAATCAACTCTATTTGTGAAGTCGTTGATCCTGTGATGGTGAAGTACGTAGCTTTGGTGGCCGAACTGAGGTGCAAATTTCAGAAATTCTGTCTGAGTAAAATCCCTCGAACTGAGAATGAACAAGCAGATTCACTTTCCAAGTTTGCCTCTGATAGCTCTTTAAGCTCCAGATCTGTTTTTGTAGAGGTCTTAGATGAACCAAGCTTCATGAAGCCTCGTATGATGGAGATTAGCACAGACCCTGACACGCCGAGCTGGACTGATTCGATAGTCTCCTTTTTACGAGATGGGATCGTACCTAAGAACAGGCAGGAGGCAATGAAATTGAGGAAGAAAGCATCTCGATATACACTCGTTGATGGGGTCCTGTATAAGAGATCTTTCTCACTTCCTCTTCTACGGTGTTTAAGCCCTTATGAATCTGAATATGCACTTCGGGAGGTACACGAAGGTGTCTGTGGAAGCCATGTTGGTGCTAGGACTCTGGCTCACAAAGTCTTACGGCAAGGATATTACTGGCCAAACATGTACAAAGACGCCACTTGCTTTGTCCAAAAATGCCCGAAATGTCAATTCTTCGCACATCTGAGTCACTAACCAGCAGAAGAGCTCACGAACATGGTAGCACCGTGGCCATTCGCTCAGTGGGGATTGGATCTTTTAGGCCCGTTTGTGAAAGGGGTTGGTGGTGTAACTCATCTGATTGTTGGTGTGGATTATTTCACGAAGTGGGTTGAAGCTCGGCCTCTATCTAGTCTTACCTCCAAGAAGGTCGAAGATTTTGTTTTCGGCTCGATCATCTGCAGATACGGGATCCCAAATCAGATCGTCGCTGATAATGGAACTCAGTTCAATTGCTCCTCATTTCGAGATTTCTGCTCCAGTTATGGGATCAAGTTACAATTCACCTCCGTTTACCATCCAGAGTCCAATGGCATGGTTGAATCTGTTAACAAGTGCATCCTAGAAGGTATAAGGCCGAGATTGGAGCAGCATAAGGCTAAGTGGGCAGACGAGCTCAACAACGTCCTCTGGGCATACAGAACCACGAGCCGAACTGCCACAGGTACTACTTTAAACTGAATCTATTTGATTAAATTCTATATTATTTCACTTCTTCTATTACGCCTTACCTTAGACGCAAATATGCATAACGCGTAAAGCGCATTCTAAAGTTACAATTAATTCAAATAGGTGAAACACCCTACCACTTGGCCTTTGGTACCGAAGCAGTCATTCCTGTTGAGATAGGAGTCCCAAGCTTCCGGGTCACCCATTTCGATGAAGAACGAAATGGACAACTGCTTCGGGAAAACCTTGACCTGCTTGCTGAAGTCAGAGAAGAAACTCGGCTTCGAACTCTTGTATACAAGCAGAAACTAGCCAACTTCTACAACAAACGAGTCCGCCCTCGAACATTCAAAATAGGAGACCTTGTTCTCAGAAAAGCTGGCCTAACGGGGTTCGAAACTCGTTTTGGCAAACTTGCCCCAAATTGGGAAGGCCCCTATGCCGTGGCCGAGGTGCCACATCCTGGTGCTTATATTCTCCAAGACGCTGAAGGAAAGAGAGTTCCTAGAGTCTGGAATGTCAATAACTTGAAGAA